GTGTTTGCACTGAAAATTTATGAAGTTGGTTAAATGTTTATATGACTATATCTGACTCAAGTCCTGCCAATTTTTTTAATTAAATATATTAAATTTCACTAAAGTGACAAATATAAACAACAGAAAAGCTGTTCAAAATCAAACACTTCCTTACTCCCTTTGGTCCAAATGGTTCAAGGTTAAATTTTTTATATAATGTTTCATTAGAGAATACTAAACTGTGTACTTTCACTAAGAACATGGACACAGTGTGTAGTGTTATGACTATACTACACCGTGTACTTTTGTGTGGTGGTTCGTAAGAGTAGAGGACATATTGGGAGCTCATTTATAATGTATTCAATGGTCAGAATAATTTTTGAGTGTCGACCACCCAATCATTAATTATGGTCGGTCACTATCTGATTCCATGTCATTTCTAGAAATTGTCATTGTTTTCTGTTTGATTTCTATTAGTAACCTTGTTTTTGTTTGTTTCTTTGTCTCTTCAGAACTCCCACAGCAACATAAGGAGGTAGATGTTATGATGGACCAGCAGCTCTGTAACCAAGAGAGGGACTACAGTCTGGACCCTGCAGAACCACAAACTCCAGAGATTAAAGACTCCCAGGTTGAGTTCTGGACCAGGCAGGAYGTTGAGCATCTTCTTCTAAAGAAAGTGACTGGATCCAGCTGTGAAGAAACAGCTGGAGTTTCAGAAAACTACGTCGTCCACTTCGATGAAGACCTGGATGGTCAGGACCAACTGGCCCAGATGAATCTCAACACATCAGGTATGAAATGAATGAATGAACAAAAACACCACTAGATGTCAAAAACTAAACTTCTTAACATTTAAGTTGTTTGAAGCACAGGAGAAATGGTCCAACAGAGGAAGGTCCGTGTAGTGACGTCTTCAGTCAATTACAGATTTTAATGATGGGCTCATATTTTAGAGTCCTGTAAATGATAAAACTTCTACGATATTTTTTCTCTCATCAGTAATGACTTCTATTTGTGTCATTTTATTCTTAGAATCCCAACAGCAACAGCTCGCTGAAGAGGATAAACTTCAGAAAAACCAACAGTTTCAGACTACAGTTTTACAACACAACAGAGAAGACTGGGAGGAATCAGACCTTGTAGAAATCAAGGAGGAACAAGAAGAACTTTGCATCAGTCAGGATGAGGAGCAGGAGGTCTTGAAAGAGGAAATTGATGTTTTTGTGATTGATTATGATGAAAGTGACAGCAGCAAATCAGAACCAACCAGCACCCAGGTCCTCTCTCACAGCCCTGCCTCCTCACCGTTAAGAGAAGAATCAAGTTTGGACATGGATGAAACAAAACCGTACGCTTGCAACAGTTGTGGGAAAAAATTCTCTGACTTACCATCAATGACTTTTCATCAGAAAACTCACCAAGAAGAGAAACCCTTTAGTTGTGAAATGTGTTTGAAAAGTTTTGGTCAGCGTCACAGTTTAATGCGCCACATGATAACTCACACAGGCGAGAGACCATATTCCTGTCAGGTCTGTGGGGACAAATTTGGACTGAATAGTCACTTGTTGCGTCACATGAGAACTCACACAGGTGAGAAACCGTTTACTTGTACCGTCTGTCATAAAAGTTTCACCCAGAGTAACAGTTTGACTTATCATATGAGAATCCACACAGATGAGCGACCACATTCTTGCAAAGAATGTGGAAAAAGTTTTAAACAAATAGGAGCTTTAAAGACTCATTTGAGGACTCACACTGACGAGAAGCCGTATTCCTGTGAAGTGTGCGGAAAAAGTTTGCGATCCAGCACCAGCCTGCTGTGTCACATGAGAACTCACACAGGTGAAAAACCTTATTCCTGCAAAGAATGTGGACGAGGTTTTACACAAACGGGGGCTTTAAATGTCCATTTGAGGACCCACACTAACGAGAAGCCGTATCCCTGCGACGTGTGTGGAAAAAATTTAAGTACCAAAACTAGCCTGCTGTATCACATGAGAACTCACACAGGTGAAAAACCTTATTCCTGTAAAATCTGTGCTAAAAGATTCAGTCAGACCAGCCACTTGTTCTTACATATGAGAGGCTCACACAGGTGAGAACTGATGGTGTTTCATCAATGATGTGTTGTTCTAAGTGAATAATAATAATAATAA